ATTTTCAGTGTGGGCCATTTTTGGAAGTGACAATTTGTCCTTGGGACAAATTGAGGAGTGACATTTTGTCTGTGGGACGAATTGGGGAGTGACGTTTTGTCCGTGGGACAAAATGGGAAGTGACGTTTTGTCTGGGACGAATTGGGGAGTGACGTTTTGTCCGAGGGACGAATTGGGGTGTGACGTTTTGTCTGTGACGAATTGGGGAGTGACGTTTTGTCCGAGGGACGAATTGGGGTGTGACGTTTTGTCTGGGACGAATTGGGAAGTAAATTTGGGTCAGTCTTGGATGTGGGGAAGAAAGGTGGGTCTTATAAAATAGGTATGGACAGTAGAGCACTATATTGGACCCGGGAAGGGATTAGAGTACCGTATCGGGGCCCGGGGGACAGTAGAGTCACCGCAGTAGAAGTTGTAGATGGCTGGCAGGAGCAGTTGAAGTTGTAGACCGCTGGCAGGAGCAGTTGAAGTTGTAGACGTTTGGCAGGAGCAGTTGAAGTTGTAGAAGTCTGGCAGGAGCAGTTGAAGTCGTAGAAGGACCGTTGAAGTGCAGGAAGGGGGGGGGGGGGGGTTCTAATCAAATCTAAGGTCTAAGTGCCCTACTGTCTACACCTATTGAATAAGAACCCGTGCCTTTGGATATAACTCGGAGGTATGAAAGCCTGAACCTATGGAGAGAATATTTTTTGAGAAGGGGGGTCGGTCAGTTCAGTGCGGGATTTTCAGTGTGGGCCATTTTTGGAAGTGACAATTTGTCCTTGGGACAAATTGAGGAGTGACATTTTGTCTGTGGGACGAATTGGGGAGTGACGTTTTGTCCGTGGGACAAAATGGGAAGTGACGTTTTGTCTGGGACGAATTGGGGAGTGACGTTTTGTCCGAGGGACGAATTGGGGTGTGACGTTTTGTCTGTGACGAATTGGGGAGTGACGTTTTGTCCGAGGGACGAATTGGGGTGTGACGTTTTGTCTGGGACGAATTGGGAAGTAAATTTGGGTCAGTCTTGGATGTGGGGAAGAAAGGTGGGTCTTATAAAATAGGTATGGACAGTAGAGCACTATATTGGACCCGGGAAGGGATTAGAGTACCGTATCGGGGCCCGGGGGACAGTAGAGTCACCGCAGTAGAAGTTGTAGATGGCTGGCAGGAGCAGTTGAAGTTGTAGACCGCTGGCAGGAGCAGTTGAAGTTGTAGACGTTTGGCAGGAGCAGTTGAAGTTGTAGAAGTCTGGCAGGAGCAGTTGAAGTCGTAGAAGGACCGTTGAAGTGCAGGAAGGGGGGGGGGGGGGTTCTAATCAAATCTAAGGTCTAAGTGCCCTACTGTCTACACCTATTGAATAAGAACCCGTGCCTTTGGATATAACTCGGAGGTATGAAAGCCTGAACCTATGGAGAGAATATTTTTTGAGAAGGGGGGTCGGTCAGTTCAGTGCGGGATTTTCAGTGTGGGCCATTTTTGGAAGTGACAATTTGTCCTTGGGACAAATTGAGGAGTGACATTTTGTCTGTGGGACGAATTGGGGAGTGACGTTTTGTCCGTGGGACAAAATGGGAAGTGACGTTTTGTCTGGGACGAATTGGGGAGTGACGTTTTGTCCGAGGGACGAATTGGGGTGTGACGTTTTGTCTGTGACGAATTGGGGAGTGACGTTTTGTCCGAGGGACGAATTGGGGTGTGACGTTTTGTCTGGGACGAATTGGGAAGTAAATTTGGGTCAGTCTTGGATGTGGGGAAGAAAGGTGGGTCTTATAAAATAGGTATGGACAGTAGAGCACTATATTGGACCCGGGAAGGGATTAGAGTACCGTATCGGGGCCCGGGGGACAGTAGAGTCACCGCAGTAGAAGTTGTAGATGGCTGGCAGGAGCAGTTGAAGTTGTAGACCGCTGGCAGGAGCAGTTGAAGTTGTAGACGTTTGGCAGGAGCAGTTGAAGTTGTAGAAGTCTGGCAGGAGCAGTTGAAGTCGTAGAAGGACCGTTGAAGTGCAGGAAGGGGGGGGGGGGGGTTCTAATCAAATCTAAGGTCTAAGTGCCCTACTGTCTACACCTATTGAATAAGAACCCGTGCCTTTGGATATAACTCGGAGGTATGAAAGCCTGAACCTATGGAGAGAATATTTTTTGAGAAGGGGGGTCGGTCAGTTCAGTGCGGGATTTTCAGTGTGGGCCATTTTTGGAAGTGACAATTTGTCCTTGGGACAAATTGAGGAGTGACATTTTGTCTGTGGGACGAATTGGGGAGTGACGTTTTGTCCGTGGGACAAAATGGGAAGTGACGTTTTGTCTGGGACGAATTGGGGAGTGACGTTTTGTCCGAGGGACGAATTGGGGTGTGACGTTTTGTCTGTGACGAATTGGGGAGTGACGTTTTGTCCGAGGGACGAATTGGGGTGTGACGTTTTGTCTGGGACGAATTGGGAAGTAAATTTGGGTCAGTCTTGGATGTGGGGAAGAAAGGTGGGTCTTATAAAATAGGTATGGACAGTAGAGCACTATATTGGACCCGGGAAGGGATTAGAGTACCGTATCGGGGCCCGGGGGACAGTAGAGTCACCGCAGTAGAAGTTGTAGATGGCTGGCAGGAGCAGTTGAAGTTGTAGACCGCTGGCAGGAGCAGTTGAAGTTGTAGACGTTTGGCAGGAGCAGTTGAAGTTGTAGAAGTCTGGCAGGAGCAGTTGAAGTCGTAGAAGGACCGTTGAAGTGCAGGAAGGGGGGGGGGGGGTTCTAATCAAATCTAAGGTCTAAGTGCCCTACTGTCTACACCTATTGAATAAGAACCCGTGCCTTTGGATATAACTCGGAGGTATGAAAGCCTGAACCTATGGAGAGAATATTTTTTGAGAAGGGGGGTCGGTCAGTTCAGTGCGGGATTTTCAGTGTGGGCCATTTTTGGAAGTGACAATTTGTCCTTGGGACAAATTGAGGAGTGACATTTTGTCTGTGGGACGAATTGGGGAGTGACGTTTTGTCCGTGGGACAAAATGGGAAGTGACGTTTTGTCTGGGACGAATTGGGGAGTGACGTTTTGTCCGAGGGACGAATTGGGGTGTGACGTTTTGTCTGTGACGAATTGGGGAGTGACGTTTTGTCCGAGGGACGAATTGGGGTGTGACGTTTTGTCTGGGACGAATTGGGAAGTAAATTTGGGTCAGTCTTGGATGTGGGGAAGAAAGGTGGGTCTTATAAAATAGGTATGGACAGTAGAGCACTATATTGGACCCGGGAAGGGATTAGAGTACCGTATCGGGGCCCGGGGGACAGTAGAGTCACCGCAGTAGAAGTTGTAGATGGCTGGCAGGAGCAGTTGAAGTTGTAGACCGCTGGCAGGAGCAGTTGAAGTTGTAGACGTTTGGCAGGAGCAGTTGAAGTTGTAGAAGTCTGGCAGGAGCAGTTGAAGTCGTAGAAGGACCGTTGAAGTGCAGGAAGGGGGGGGGGGGGTTCTAATCAAATCTAAGGTCTAAGTGCCCTACTGTCTACACCTATTGAATAAGAACCCGTGCCTTTGGATATAACTCGGAGGTATGAAAGCCTGAACCTAGTTGAGTTTTTGCAGTTCGATAGGAGCGGTAATAAATGAACTTTGTGGAATACATCTGGGTTTTCATTATAGAAAAAGTGCGCATTTTAAGAAAAAAAGAAGGCGACACGTTGGATCGCTTTTAGAGTTTAGGAGTGTCTGAAGCTCTCGGAGCTTGGAAGAGTTGGGCGATGGGTAAACCCGGGGGAGGGGCCAAACCCATTTTTAACCAACAAAAAAATTATGTGATAAAAAATACCACTTGTAAAGAAAAGGCCTTTTTGCTTTCTTCTAAACGAATCCGCAAAAATCCTTTTTTTACAAGTGGCTTAATTGTGCTTTTCCGTTTTTCCATCTAAGAATTTTGCTGTTTTGATAACATTTTGTACTTAAAAAGATAAAAAAATTCGACGCAAACGGAAAAGCACAAAAAAATATTATAAAAACAAATTTCATTCAAATATCTTTTAGACCTTTTAATGTGGCGGAAGCATCTTTGCCACATTTTTAGCTTCTCTCATCTTTGTAATACATCATCCATTTGTTGCACAATGCTCATTTTTTACACTTCTCGCCATCCAATTCTTGACATTGTGTTGCTGTTGATGTTTATGGCCTCACATGTACACGAAGATTGTTGTTGATGCACACATCTGCATAATACCTTTAAAATTAAAAATGCAAAAATTTGAGAGAAATTATTATAAGTGGAAAAACGAAGGGTCAGAAATTGAAATGCGGAAGACAACCCGACCCTGTCTCCAGCTCATCCCCTAACGGTACAGCGTATCTCTGCCCGAAGCTCATCACCAAAGAAAACACCACAACCACATCCAAGCAATGCAACCCCAAGACACCCAATCCCTGCTTTAATCCCTTCAAAATCAAACCTTATCATCATTGGTTGCTTGATGTTAAAGCAAAAAAGCTTCGAAATGCTCGGATTGCAAATAGCTTCCAATTCCTTTTGATAATGCTCAAATTCTTCCTTCTCCTCAGCAGTTTGGTTGCGTCTGACCAAGAGAGCGTTTCCTGACATTTGTCCAAAACCTTCTTCTTATCGTCCTCACTAATCTTATCCTTGAGCTGAAAAATTTTTGAAAAATTAAACAAGTCCCATATAAGAGAGTGGACCCTGACGGATTCAGAAAACGAAAGGGTCAGAACAGAAAGGCCGAAAACAATCTATCTCATACCCCAACAGGACATCTCATCCCTAACCCAAGCTAATAACCTTAAGGAAGCTCCTTTTCCCCCAGATCATCACCACACAAAACACCCTTTTCTATTCCCAGTTCATCCCTAAAGACGGCACATCCTATCACCAACCTAAACATACAACCCTCAAACGAGAAAACCCATTCCTAAGACAACCAAGCCCAACTTTATCCCTCAAAAGCAAACCTTATCATCATCCATTGTCTGCTTGATGTTAAAGCAGTAAGACTCAAGTCCATTCTTACATTAGCCGAAACACAATCACACTAAATCTCATCCTCGCCACGATATTTCTCAGCCTCTTGGATCATACGCTCAATCTCATCTTTGGAAAGACGTCCCTTGTCATTAGTGATGGTGATCTTGTTTTGCTTTCCAGTCGACTTGTTTTGGACAGAAACATTCAAAATTCCGTTGGCGTCAATGTCAAAGGTGACTTCGATTTGAGGAACACCACGAGGAGCAGGAGGAATTCCACTCAATTCGAATTTTCCCAACAAGTTGTTGTCCTTTGTCATAGCGCGTTCACCTTCATAGACCTTTAAAAAAGAAAATTTCAAAAAATTTTTCAAAATTTTTTCCAACCTGAATAAGAACACCAGGCTGATTGTCAGAATAGGTAGTGAACGTTTGAGAAGTCTTGGTGGAAATAGTCGTGTTTCTCTTGATTAACGGAGTCATGACGCCACCAGCAGTTTCAATTCCCATCGAGAGTGGGGCAACGTCCAAAAGAAGAAGATCCTTAAAAAATTTTTTCAAGTTTTCCCTCAAAAAACTCTCCTAAAAAATATACCTGAACATTCTCAGACTTATCGCCAGACAAAATTGCAGCCTGAACAGCAGCTCCATAGGCGACAGCTTCGTCCGGGTTGATGCTCTTATTGAGTTCTTTGCCAGAAACGAAGTCAGACAGAAGCTTCTGGACTTTTGGAATTCGAGTCGAGCCTCCAACCAAAACAATGTCATGAATCTGAGACTTGTCCATCTTAGCATCATGAATTGATTTCTCAACTGGATCCATAGTACTGCGGAACAAATCAGCGCAAAGCTCTTCAAAACATGCACGCGTGATGTTGGTGTAGAAGTTGATTCCATCAAAGAGAGAGTCAATCTCAATGCTAAAATCGATTCAAGTTAAGGTCAAAAAAATCAGAAATAACCTCGCTTGAGTGGAGATAGACAAAGTCCTCTTAGCCAGTTCACAAGCAGTACGAAGACGACGGAGAGCACGCGGATTGGTCGCAAGATTCTTCTTGTGTTTACGCTTGAATTCAGCAACAAAATGGTTGACCTTAAAAAACATATTTTCAGTTTAGAAAACCTCAAAAAACTCCAAACCATTCGATTGTCAAAATCTTAGCCTCCAAGATGAGTGTCTCCAGCAGTCGACTTGACCTCAAAAAAACCATCTTCAATAGTCAAAATAGACACATCAAAAGTTCCACCGCCTAAGTCAAAAATCAGAACGTTGCGCCCGCCCTGGCCTTTCTTATCCAAACCATAAGCAATGGCCGTAGCAGTTGGCTCGTTGATGATACGCAAAACATTAAGTCCAGAAATCGTTCCAGCATCCTTTGTGGCTTGGCGTTGACTGTCGTTAAAATACGCAGCAATCGCAGTGATGACAGCATCTTTGACCGTCTGACCCAAAAATGCCTCACTCAGCCGTTTCCTTCATCTTAGTCAAGACCATGGCGGAGACTTCCTTAAAACCAAAAGTTAAGCTTAAACAAAGTTAAACTCCAAATCAAACCTCAGAGAACGCCTTCATTTCTCATTTAATCTCCACTTGGATTTTTGGACGAGCACCTTCTCCTTGGATAACCTTGAACGGCCAATGCTTCATGTTCGATTGAACGGCTGGATCGTCAAACTTGCGTCCAATCAAGCGCTTTGCGTCTGAAATGAGATTTGACTTGTTTAAACAAAAAATATAAGAAAATACCAAAAACAGTGTTCGTCGGATTCATTGCTACCTGATTTTTAGAAGCGTCACCAATCAGACGTTCAGTGTCCGTGAAAGCCACATAAGATGGAGTCGTGCGATTTCCTGAAGAAATAAAGTTAGAACACGTAACCTGATCCAGAAAACAAACCTTGATCATTAGCAATGATTTCGACTTTTCCATGCTGGAATACACCAACACAGGAATAAGTCTTACCAAGGATACCGACAACGTTTGCTTTAGACATTTTTAAAATGATATCTGAAAAATTAGAATTTAGAAGATTAGGAGTAAAAAATCATTAAACATAACAAAAGAAAATGCAAACTCCGGAAACTAATGAAAATCGATAAGTGACGCCAAATGAATTTGAACGAAATATTAACACAAATTAATTTTGTTAATTTAATTTTGGAAAATGTCAAAGTGTCAAGTCGTTATTCTGTCAATTGCTCGAAATGGAGTAAAAAATTTAAAGCTACTTTTGAAAAATTACACTCGATGGAAAGACTCCAAACGATTTAGAGAAACAGACCTGTTCTGAATGTTTTGAAGGGTTCTGAAACCAATTTTTAATTGTATGTGAAAAATATTTTCTTAAAGTAGATATAAAATTAAGGTTACTTGAATACGTATTATAAAACGTGTATTTATTTATTTTAACATTATATAATGAAATTTTTTGCAACATATAATTGTGGAAAAAATAAAAGATGTAAAAGAATAATTTCTAAAAGTGACTAGTTTTGAGAATGGGGAAAGTTAAAATCATCTCCATGTGTACGAAAGGAAAGTCAAATTTAAAGAACAAAGCTCTAATCGAAATATGATAACTATACTATTAATTCCTTTTCAATTTCTATACATCTTATCAACGAACACACAACCATTTGAATAAGTATTTAGCAATTATTAAAGACCGATCAACGAAGCTGTGATTACAAACAATGCTACTATTATCATTATCCACCATAGCTTTTGTGTTTTTCCTCCAATACTTCCACCGGTCAGATGTTCTGTCTCTCCTTGATTTGCTTCACCTTCGTCTCCCTCTTCTGCAGTAGAATTTTCGTCGTATTGCTGGTCTTGTTGAGGTTGTTCTTGTTGTGAATCGCGTTGAGAACTTTCTTGCTTTCTAAGACAACTAAATTCGCAATCAGCCAGTTTATCAGAGTGTAGACCCTAGACAAAAATGAAAAATTAAAACTGCATGAAGAGAAGGGATGGATTGAGAAAAAAGTCGGGTCGGAACAAAGACTGGGTTTCGAGTAACCCGGTCCATCCAGCATGAAGAGATTGTTTCATACAAAAATCACCTATGATTAATTTAATAACCTTAAACATTCCAGTAAGCGAACGACACATAATCAAAGAAGCTTCCTCACGACAAAGACCTGCCATTGCCTCCATATATTCTTGTAATTTATTATTCACAGCAGTACAAACTTCCTCATCCGGATGATCCAAAAATTTTTCGCTGAGGTAGGTGCCTGCAATTTTCATTATTACATAATAGGATTTCTTTAAAAATAACCTGCACTAATGGTCATTTCACCAATACGTTCCCTTGAGAGACATGGTCTGTGCTCACTAAGCATTTTCTGACCTTCGTCTGAACATGCATAAGTAAGCAAATAGTAACTCTGCATTTTAAACGGAATAATTAAATTATTTTAATAAAAAAACCTTAAGAAAGCTGCCAGAATTCTTTCTGTGGGTTAACAAATCACTAACTGTATTACTAGCAGCTACAACCTCTGAATGACTACATTCGTGTTGTTCAGGACCTTCATCCTGAAAAGAAATAATCAAAAAAATAAACAAAATCCGAGAAAGGTAAATAACACCTGCAAATTGTCGATAAACAATATTTTCTATTTTATAAAATCTTTAATTAAACCATAAAATAGATTGTACTCATTTTAATAATCTCAGGTATTTCAAATTTTCTCGCCTGAATGCATTTGTCCAATTCTCTAAGGTGCTGACACTGATCATTGTTTATTGTCACAACATTATCTTTTAGCTCATAAAGTGTCCAAGTCCACTCGTCAAGAATTTCGATAAAACATTTGACAAGCGTAACATAATTACACCTACTCTGAAAAATAAGGCTATAGAAAAAAGTCAGAATTATTAGGAAATAAACAAAAAATTTTGAATTTCGAAATAAATATCCAAAAATTAATTCATTTATATTTATAATACAAAAACAAACCTCGGCATTAACAATTGGAAATATCAGCAAGATAATAGTGAAGGGAAGCAATAGAAATTGACTAGAAAAGATGAATCGGTTGGGCCAATATGTCGACAATCTTTTTTGGCCAGTCATTTTTATAAGCAAAAATGAGACGTTATTGTTTGAGCGAATTTTCTATCTTTATTGAAAACTTTAAAGGAGAAAAAGAAATTCAATTTTTTCTCAAGGCTCTATCCGTTGTCTTTATAGGCAAAGTGGTAATGTGGCAGTGATTGTTGCGTTTAGAGAAGCAGCAAAGTTTTTCTCCTCAAAAGTTTTTTTGCAAGAATCTAAAAATAAAAAATATTTATATAAATTAAGAACAAGCTAAAAATGATTTTTAAGTAGTGAGTTTTGATGTTTAGAAATTTTAAATAAATTTAAGTAAAATTAATGAAGAAAGGCGATTTATTTTCATACTACACAAAATTTAAAAAAAATAGAAAGGCTGAAGCAGTCAAAAAATGGCAAACACAAGAAAAGATTGAAAAAAGAAAAGCAATCGTTGTCGGAAGCGGCCAAAAAGTCTGGAGTAAAAAACCGCGCGTTTCTCCTTTCACTATCTCACGCAATGACAAACAAGCAATGAAATGCTTGTTATATAGGAGGTTTGAGAAGCTCTATGCACAAATATTATTGAAGTACAAATAAAAAAACGTTGAAGCAATACATAAATAGTATATGTGCAGAGAAAAAAGAATGTCGGGAAATTTTTAGAAAGCGAAAAAAGCAATCGTTCTTTATTGTCAAAGCTAAATGTACGTGAAAATATTGAAAGCAAAAAGAAACCCCCCATTATTAGGCAAAACAAAAGATGAAGCAGAAAATGCAACTTATATGTACATAGATAATAGATTTGTGAACCCCGATATCAAGACCAATGTGGGGTTAGAAAATGTTATACAAGTATAGGACATACATACATACATATGAAGTGATAATATAGATTTAAATAAAATAGTAATAAATTTGTAAAATGTGTGAGAAACCTTCCTAAATTGAATATGTTTGTTTAGCCCAAGTGTAGAAATGCTTTAAAATGCCTAAAATTGAATTTTCTTTATTTCCCCATTTCAACTCTTTAAAAGAGCAGTCACTAGTTCTTTGTGGAAGATTAAATTGGAAGAAAAACCGGTTGCTATTTTAAAGAAAAATGGGGCTTTTTCGAGGTCCCTATCATCTATTTTCATAAATAAAAAAGGTGTTTTAAATATGACAATAATAGTCAAGACTTTGTACTCTTTTAGAGTTATTTATAATGCGCGTTTGCGGGAACTTTAATAATGAAGAAACAATGAAAGATGGAAACCATCAAGGAGCTAAAGATAAAATAAAAATATCGAATTTGATAAAAACATACGTAGTAGAATAGGATGAAACTATGAAAGAATGATTGTTGAAAAGATTAGCGTGGTAACTAAAACAAGATAGAAACAATTTCAATTAGTACATCGTATACATATTTAATTAGTTACCGGAAAGATTTTTTTCTTTTCAATGGGAAGAAAATCACAATGTATTTTATCATTATTTAGCCAACCTTTCTCCATTTTCACTTTCTTGTTGTTTTGGATATGAAAAATAAAAAAGCGAGGGATAGATTTTAAAAAGAAATGTGTGCTTAATTGCTCTAACGGGAAAGAAAGAATAGAGAGAGGGAGAGAAAAGCGCACTTCTATTTTAGTTAAGAAAAAGCGGCACAAATAAGGCAGAAGTGAGCCAATTTTGAGGAAATCGATTACGAAATAGCAAAAGTGTGGATAAGGAACGAGGAAAACTCACAATGCATTTTGTTCGAGCAACTACATATTTAGTTCAATTTGAAAATTAATTATTAAGTACTGAACAAAGGAAAGACGATGTCTTTATAATAATACCCACTCCAGAAAAGCAGAATCGAAAGAGATGCAACACCGTAAATATCCCATAAACTCTAGACATTTTAGCAATAGTATACAGACAATAACGTTGGGATATGTTGTCTCCAATAAACTCAACCTTTATGGAATTTACTATTTGGATATGTTAGGGATTGAGTTACCTGCATTTACTATGGCCAATAAAACTCGGAAATGTGCAGCTCTGGGAACTCATTTTTGGGCCATGGATAGAGAAAAGAGAGAAAATTCAATTTTGATTGACTGACTGACGTATTGTGACTTTATTACAAGAAAAGTAAAATAAAACGCGTGAAAAACAATGGAATATTGAAATATAGATAGTTGGAATAAGAGCTCAAAAAAAGAAAATAGTTAAAAATTGCCTGATTGAATTTGGCAAAATTATAGTCCCTAAGTTAGTTGCTAAAGTACTTTATCGAAGTCAGCCATAAAAAATTGTCGTTAAAAAAAGAACTATCTCGTGAGGAATGAATATAATTTTTAAATGAGCATGATATTGGGAGCATGGTTTTAGAACGCTGACAGTCCAAGATTTAAGGATATTAAATAGAAAAAATTCTCAAAAATGGATTAAAAAACTACGCGAAGATGGAAATTAATAAAAAATTTTGCCAAAATTTGCAGCATTTAGTGTTTTTATTGATAATTTTATTGATAATAAGGTCATTTCTTCATAATTGAATTAATGGAAGGATAAAAAATAAAGCAGAAGAGGAAACACTTGCATGCACAAGAAAAGAATCTCGAGGCAGAGTGGATAAGTGAAAAGGCAAATTAATTGTTGGTTTATAAGTGGAATTTAAAAAAGAGTTGACCTTGTAAAAATAAAAGAATTAACCCATCCAGAAAAAATTAAATCGCAGAATAAAATTATGCAATAGTATAACAACACAAACTTATTGTTAAACTAAATAGCTAAAATCTCCGATAAAAAAATAAACATACTAAACTGACATTCAATTCATTGTTTTTAGCTCAAATCTCGATCATAATTATTTTGAAGGATTTTCTCTTCATTTTTTTTCAAACTTTAAAAATAGACAGGTGTCTCTACTTAAGATCAATTCAACTAAAAATGACAGAAAGTATGTACTATTTGTTTATCGTGGGTTAGTACTAGGAATATTCGAACTCACAAATATTTATTCACATTTTAATCTCAATGTCAATAAATCTGAGGTCAATTTTACTGTATATTTTATTAATCTACATAATTGTTAAAAATATAAATTGTTCAATTTCTAATGGAAAAAGAACAGTTTACAAAAGAAAAGAAACTTATCAAAAAAGGAATGAGAATGCTTATGATAAGTTTCAAGAAAGGTACATCAATGTTGTTTCCAATTTTCAATAAAAAATATTAAGTAGAACACTTAAAAAGTTGAGAACAGAAAATGGCCGACTTTTATTAGTAGTTTGCAAGTCAAAATGCTTAAAAGAGAGAGCTGATGTAAGTTATATTTCTAATATTATGGGAAATATTAAGACGCAAGGTTATCAATTATCCAACTTGCATAAAGAGTTTGTCATTTTAAAATAGATAGCCGCGTGGCTAAGTGAATACAACAAGAAAAGCAGTATAAACTCCCAAAATTTCCATAAAGAAATCAACGAAACTCATGAGGAAGCAACAAAGAATGTATCAAAGTCAACATATCAACCATTGGGAATTCACATTCATTACTACCAAAAGTCATTTCCTATTGCCGAAATAGAGAGGAAAATAAAGAAAAGTTCGAAGCAAGTAATTGCCTTTTATGTAGCTGATGGCAAGGTTAGTAGTTTCTTAATTTCTCGTAGTAAATTGAAAAATATTATGAATTAAAAATGTAAATTGAATAGTTTGAGAAGAGAATTAACAAAACTAAGTCATTAGAAGAAAAAATAATAATAAAGAAAATAATAAAGCTAAAATAATAAAGTTAAGGAATTTCAAATACCGGATAAGGATCTCACACGAAAAGTAAGTGAAAGCAACCTTTATAAAAATGCAAAAATCCAAAAAAAACTCAAAAGGAAATGTTTCTTCAATGGTTAGAAGCCTATGAACATCCTACAAATATTATATTGTTAAAAGAAGCGATAGAGCTTGATGAATGGCTTAATAATGAATGCAACGAAGTGACAAGACGTTCGCTAGATCAAACAGTAAACTAAAAAATCAAATAAATCTTTCCTAATACTTAGGTTCTTCTAGCAATTCATGATATTGTAAGTTAATATTTAGATGAGTTTATATTAGTTAAAGTATGTATTGTTTAACAAAATTATTAAAATTTTATAAAGGAAATATGCCCTGAACCTTTACTGAAGAATTTTGCTCGTTCCTTTATGAATAGATCAAATTACGTGGCAGTCGAGTTGCGACGCCCTCTAAATGAGGAAAACGAATTTATACTGCAATGGAGACTAAAAGGAATAGGTGAAATGTGCCGAATTATTGTTTTAATACGTAGGAATGGATTCATGGAATTATCGCCAGATATAACAGTCACAGAGGTAAAATAATACCCAATGCTGATATAAAAATGTATTAAGTTTTACGAAACTATTAGCAATATATCCCAAATTGGAATAAACCAAAACTGTACTATTATAAACCAACCTCAAGAAATGCAGGAAATCATGCCACAATTGAATCCAATAGAATTAGAATTTTTTAAAGAAGAACGCCACTTGAAATCAATAGAGCAAAACCGTCAATATTTAGCAGTTGGCACAATAGGAGGCGTAGCAGTGATGGCATTAGCAATGTCCATTTTTTGGGGTTTAAATGGAAATGATTTTGTACCAAAAAAGTAGAATAATTACTAATGAGCTGCACGTCAAGATATTAAAATTTTGCCATAAGTATTCCAAGATTGTAAACAACTAAAAAAATCTTATAAGAATAATAAATAGAATATTTTGGAGATTTGAATTGCCGTGTAGTTTAATTTAAATAATTATAACTCAATAATCTTTATCATAATATGCTTAATAAATTATTAAATATCACATAAGGAATACTAAAAAATTTAAAAAGATTTTTTTCGATTTAATTTTCCTTAGCATTATCAGCCAATTTAGCAAGCTGAGGAGTTGGACAAAGCCGAAGGTCTGCCAAGGCATCCATAAGAAAAACTAAAAACCAACCAATTAAATTAAAATTTTACTTAAATTATTTACCAATGTCTGCATTTAATTGACGTTTCAATTTTAAGGAAGGTTTCTTAAAGTTGGCAATATTTGAACAGAATGAATTTTGGACAAGAGTTGCCACCTATAAGAATAATAAGTTTTTAAATCAATGGGAAATTTTATTAAGGCAAACCTCTGTCAAAAGCCAAAAATCCGGTTCATCCACTAAAGAAAAGACAATTTAAAAATTTAGAAAATTTATCAAGTTTGGGAATAAAACTCCGTCCTAAGATTTAATCGACAGATTGTCTGTCCCTAATCTAAAATCTAAAAATATAAAAGATTAACCATTAAATGACGTTTTTCCATTGGATGCTGCACAACTAATTGCAGTAATAAAATTTCTATCATTTCCATAAGCACTTATAGTATTCATCTGCGAGAGAAGTCCATGTCCAATTCCAGTAACATAATTTTGAGGTGACACGCTAAAACTGGGCAAAGAAGTGCTTAAATCATCTTTCGAATTGCCTGAACCATCTACTAATTCTTCAGCATGCTTTTGCCACTAAAATATTTTCAAAGGTAAAAAATGAAAAGATAACCATTTTTTGCATTTCATCTTCCATAGGGTAAATTATTGTGTTTGCTATTGATTCTATTTTACGTTCAACAACCTTCACTGTTAACGTGTCAAGAATTGAATATTTTGTTATAAGCATTAGATTTTCTAAAACAAAAATAAATTAAATTGGAAAATTTTTTAAAATACCTGTTGATTGTGAACCCAAACTTTCTGAAGTTACTTGAATAATATAATCGTTGACATCTTTAACCATATTAAGGAGATATCCTAAAAAAAATTTTATTAATTGCAAATTTTACGTAAAAAAACCTGCAGAACAAATGGCAGAAAGTTTATCTTCAGTATTTTCTTGTACACTTTTCCTTTTTCGTATATCTACAGAATTTGTTTTTATATTTAAAATGTCCTGATTTTGAAGAAAAGAATTTATTTCACGTATAGCTAACTAAAATTGATTTTTAAAAATATTTTTATTGAAAAAAACCTCAAAAGACGGAATAATATGTTTAGAAAAATTTGTGCCAAATGTGCTTCTTGCCTCGTTAACAATATCATACATACATGACTGAATATCTTCCAAATAAGGCATGAGCCAATTGTGTTGATGTCGAGAGCTCTTATCTGGCTGAAAATAATTTAGGTTATTCTAAACAAATTTAAAGAGACCGTGATTTTATTTATTGTACATAAAAGAATTGAAGTAACATGCTTCCCATAGTCTTCGCTTATGATAACATAAATTGATTTGGCCAATTCAGAAAAAAGAAATAGAATAAAGGAATCCCCTTCTTCCTCGATCATTGCAGTATAGTCATAGAGAATCTGAAACAGAATTTTATAATTAATAGAAGTTAGAAAATAGATTTAATAATGCTTGGAATGAGAATAAAAAATTTCATAGAAATTGACTCACTTTGCCGCATGAATACATTTGTTAGGGAAAAGAGAATAAAATAAACTGGGGGAAATAACCAAGGGTACCAAATTTTACATTAATTGGCAAAATACCTTTCCAATTGATTTAGCAGCAATGAATGGACTTTCAGCATTAGAAATAATGGTAGTGATAACAGACAAAATTGTTTGCCAATTTGATTCTATTGCTTCTTTAAGATTTTTACAGACAAATTCAGAACCATTTTCTGCAATAAATAAATCTATCGTCCTAAAATGTGTTAAATTAAAATAATTTACAAATTAAACAGACTTGTGACAACGTTTCCAAATCGTAAATATTTCATCCAAAATATTCCAAAGAGAAAGCTCTTCCTTTTTTGATTCAAAAAACGATTTAAGTTTACTCTTTGGATAACCACCAAGATTCGATTCAAAAACTAAATACATACAACATTTAATAAAAAATTTTTTTGATGATTAAATACCTTGAATTCGATCAAGCGAGGAATATTTTTCACGTATATTTTCTAGTTGTTTTATATCATTTGAATCCAGTGCAAGAATTGTTGCTGGCGAATACCAAGCAAGAAACTCCTCTCTGATTTTTTCAAAAGTTTCGAGTTGAGATTTATCCAAAGAATACTTAAAAATAAAGAAAAAAATTTAGTTGAGAATTCTCAATTTTTATTAACTTACCATTTTTAGAATATCACAGCTTTGTTGCAATGATACTAGTTTTTGATATCTGATTGAAATATCTGAAGCATCTAAAATTTGTAGTTCATCATGTGTGTTGTCCCAAATTAATTTCGACTAAAAAAATAATGACCTTCAAAAAAGTAAAAAAATACTCGAAGGATTTCAGCCAATTTATCCGCCCTTCTTTTGGCTGCATCATGTTCTAAAACAGCATTTGGTTGTTTAGTATTAGTTTCTGTTTGTTTGAGCATTCGAAGATGATCTTGTAAACCTTTTTTGAGTGCATCCAATGCAGGTGGTCCTAATTGATTAGCTTTTCCAAGACTGAAAAATAAAATCAAACATAAAAATGAAAAGTTAATTTACGTCAATATAAGAGATAAATCAGTACGATCTTTAGCAAAAACTTCTTTATAATGCATTTGTAGATCATTTATTATTTGAAAAGAATGTGTTGGCGAATCAACAACTTGTTGTAAATTTAAGACATGTAATTCATCACAGATTTTTTCATGTAGTCGTAAATCAAGTTCCTAAAATATAAATGATTACAAGTTAAAAAGACATACAACCTCTTTAAGTGATAAATTTAAAGGCATTATTCACAATTAGTTTTTGAAATTTTTTAATAAAAGATGCTCTAAATAATAAAAAATGAGAAAAGAATTATTTTTTACACTAAAAATTGAAGGAAGAAATTTTCAACTTTGGCAAATTGAGAAGATCAAATTAAAATTTTGAAAAATTGAATCAAGTAGGCATGTTTACCGTGGAAAGATATAGCCTGATAATATTTTTGAAGTAAAACTGATTAAATCACAGTGCCCAAGACAACTGCGCCTACTTGTCCTCGGTCGCGCATACTTGGCCCGCGCTTACTTGGGCTGTACCATATTTTGAAAATCATTTTTGAAGATATTTTTTATTTTTTACCGTTTTTTACGTAGGTCCTGATTTTCTTTTTATTGCGTTCTACAGAACCAGGTACAATGCAAGCAATAAAATGTGTCGTGGTTGGTGATGGTGCAGTTGGTAAGACGTGTTTATTGATCAGCTATACAACTAATGCATTTCCTGGAGAATACATACCAACAGTTTTTGATAATTATTCAGCGAATGTGAGTTTTTAATCAGGTTAAATTTTTAATAATTTTTTTTACAATTAGGTCATGGTCGATCAGAGGCCAATCAACCTTGGGTAAATTTTTGAAAATACTGAAGCGTTCTTTAAAATATTTTTTTTTATTTTTAATCTGACAGTATTTTTATATTTTATTAAATTTTTTAAGGCTTTGGGATACAGCTGGTCAGGAGGATTATGATCGTTTAAGACCACTTAGCTACCCACAAACTGACTGCTTTATTCTCTGTTTCAGGTTTCTTTCCTAATTTTTATTTTAATAAGTTCGACTAAAATTTAGCCTTGTCAATCCCGCATCTTTCGAGAACATTCGAGCAAAATGGCATTCAGAAGTCTCGCACCATAGTCCTCATACTCCAATCATTTTAGTTGGTGAGTTTTTTTATATTTTCCTTCAATTATTAAATTCTTTTTATTTATTTAAGGAACAAAACTTGATTTACGTGAAGATCCAAAAACGGTTGAAAAATTACGAGAGCGTCGACTTACACCAATTAGCACAGTTCAAGGACATCAAATGGCTAAGGACATTAAAGCTGTCAAATATTTGGAGTGTTCTGCCTTGACTCAAGTTGGATTGAAGCAAGGTTTATTTTAAATTTTTGATATATATCTTTTTTTAATTTTCTCATTTTAAAGTTTTTGATGAAGCAATCCGTGCTGTGCTTTGTCCTCCTCCACCAAAACCTAAGAGAACATGTGGTGTTCTTTGAATTTACTATTTTGGTTACATCATCGAGGGTTTTTATTTTCCAAGATTTATACATTTTTAAGCCCTTTTTCTGTTCAAACTTGCTTATCTTTTCACTAAAAATGTTAGTTATCTGATGCTTAACCCAAAATATATACTTAACTATGCATTCAGTTTTTAACTATAATCACGTTTTTCATTGACATAATTAACCTTATTCACTATACTTTGTTATTTTCTAGTGACATTTATTGGCTGCCTAACGGTAAATATATTCGCTTAACTTCGTATATGTTGTATTCGGAATCTTATATCAAATTTATAAATTAGTGCTCGGAAACTGTTAATCTCTTAATTTTATCTTGGTCTTAGTATTTATTTGCCAGTGAACGCCTAAAAAATAAGTTTCCGAAGTACTATTTCCAATCTCTCTCATATCACCAATAAAACAATGTATTATTGAATAAATTCTGTGCCTTTAGTAATTAATTTAAGAGTCGATTATTCACAAACTTTTACTGACACCCCCAGAAGAATGCCTTCTAAAAATCGTATTTTCATCTGAAAATTAGACGACGCGGTATATTAGATTGGTGCTCGGATAATCATAGCTACAACAAACAAATTTTAAAAGAGTGAAAATTATTTATTGCTAGAATTCTGTTTTATTTCTAAATGATTTAGAAAATCTCATTAATTCTAATCAGCTGTTTTAAAGGCAGCTACAACAATTTTGCTGTTGTACCACTTTGTTGTTGTGACGAATACTTGTAATTTACCCAATTAACATTTTCAACTCTTTGTGTGTTTTGTGGCTGGTTTACTGGATAGGCAAAATGTCCTCCTGTTGCATCTGTTTTAAATTCGAACTTTGACCATTCTGGTACGTAGAGCCTTAAATAAAAATTTTGGTTGTCCAGTTTACAAGTCCAAGCAAGTTTTATCCGTACAATCAAAGATACACCGAACAGGGCATAACACCCAGGTCAGTGTTTAATTGTTCTTATCATGTTGAACCAGAATCTATTTAAAAAATCAAACAAATATACCTAAAACAGTTTAGTCGACGTATCTCAATCGACACTTCATCCTCATATTTTTGTCGACGAAGTACCTCGAAATTGAAGATTATTTTAATAAATCAAAGCATTTATACAGCATAATCAGGAAGACAAAAATCGTAACAATAGGAGCACGATTCGTCTAAAAAGGAATTAAATTAACAGAAATATATAGAAAGAAAAAACCGTTTGTGTAGAGAGTGTGTTTCAGTAAGTACCACTGAACATTTTGACAATCTTCGATTGGATCCTTAAATTTACCTTCGACAAATGATCTATCGACCTGTTCGACTGTGAATTGCCTTTATAAAAAGTATTTTAAAATAATAAAAAATTGTTACCAGTATTCCTGCCATCCAAATTGAGCATATACCTGGAAAGATTATTATAAATATTACAAAATAGCCAAGACTAACTAAAATAAAAAAACTATATCCCCTCTAAATTCAAAACATATCCTTTTCATATAGTTTTTGTTTTAAACATACCTCTTGAAAGGTTTTTTTCAACGCATTATTCACTGAACTCATACTAGGTAATGAACTTGTATCTAGTTGCATTATAAAACAAATTATATGCCTTCCAGCACCGTCAGTAAGGGAATGGTCAGCCACGGCCACATATCCCTTAAATTACTTCATTATTAAAAAGGTTACAACCATTTTTTAAGTTACAACACTCATTTCCCTAAATATTTCCCATATTTTTGTCACATATTCAAGGTTCCTACAACCAAAAAATCCAATGTACTGACTAGATAAAGAAAGCCCAACAATTCAAAATATTGTAAAAATTAATTTAAATACCGTGTCAAAATCAACAGCAGTAAAGCTATTCGACTTAAATGGAGGACTTCCAACTAATTCAAAATGTAATTGTGCAGGACTGTGTAGATGAACATAAAGTCTGCTGGGTGATCTGTTGCTTGAGCCTGTTCGGCGTTGACACTCCTCACAAATAGGAGGATATAACCAAAAGGAGAAGGTAGATTTTGGAAGAAAAAGCGCCGAGAAAATGAACCAAAAAAACAACAGAAGAATAATTAAAAATATAAAAATTAAAACAAGTCGAGGTCGTGTCAATGCGGATTCCCTAAATTTAAAAATTATTTTTTTTGTTACCAATTTCCTAACCTCATTTGTCTGCTTAATTCTGTAATTGAGCCTTTCAATCTGTCAAGTGAATCCTCACCAATTAAATGTTTTTGTTTTTTAAGTTTTCCAAGCTCCAAAAATTTTCCAGTCCACCCCGACAGCTTTTTTGAGTCGGAAATTGCCGATAAGTTAGAAGGTTGCTAAAAAATATATTGCTTACGTGTTAATCCTAAGAATTCCTTACACCATAAGATACATCATGGGGAAGTTCTTGCATCCGTCGATAGCTATCTTTTCGTTGGATCGAACTGAAATACTAAAATATTTTTGTAATAATGTAAAACCTGTCGGAGGAAGGGCTTCTGCATGGGTTACCTTCAATTTCAGCCAAAGTATGTCGCGGATGCTTGAGTATACCTGGACTACTTAATCGACTTAAACCTGCTCCAGCAAAATCTGTCCTTCCTGACATACTCTCTTCGTGCGATAATTTTCCAGCCCCATGGGTTTTTATTATTTGTGCCGTACCTGCTTCAAAAGGATTTTTTAAATTTCAACTTTAGCAAAAAATTAAAACCATGTGTCTGCACTTCGTGAAGATCATACCCAATTTGTTTAATTGAGATTGATCTCTCCGGCGTTGATTGGCAAATTGGAGGTGAGACAAATAATGAAGGTTGAGGACCCATAGAGGGACTATAAAAAACTGAAGCATCGCGTTCAACATCTTTTTCGCATGGCAAATTAAATCTGAAACTTGCATTAACTTTTCTAAATTACCAGAAAGCTAAACAACCTTCTTTTTATATCCTCACTGAAGTCAGTAGATACAAAGTTTTCTGTAGATTTTTTCACAAAGGAAACAGGTGTAAAAGCTTCTTGGTTGGGAAAATTAAAAATTTATATTTCACATGAAATTTATAACTGACCAGGTGAAGTAATTGGACTATAAAAAATCTTAATTAGTAGATAAAAATAATTAAATTAAACAAACCGACTGCCCTCTTCCACAGTTCTCTCAATTATTTCAATTTGCTCTACTTGTTGGTGTCGCTTCTGATTTTGCATTTTTTAAAATAGGAATTAGGCAATCGAGAAATTGTAAATTATTCTTAAGTGAATGGGCTCCCAATAAGGCAGGCCGATTGTAAAAGATGCAAAGTAAAAAAATCTTTTAATGACCATTCATTTGAAAATTCGAATATAATGTGAAAACTATTAAAGTTTAAAAGAAAAGTTAAAAGTGTTTTCAAATTTTTAAAGAATTTTCAACCGCCTAAACTACACAGCAACAACTCTTGTCGCGTCCACTCTAATGGATTCGTCGCATTCCTCTAATTTTTTTAGCTCAACAGAAGACTTTTCATCGATTTGTGTGAATTGCAGGCGCCTCTCACTTTAAGCGGGCAACGTGCACAACGGGTGTGCAATCCAAAACCGGTTGTCAGGAATTATTCATAAATGGGCAAAGGATTAAAAACAAGGAAGGATGAGCTGAGTTTGGAAGAGTAGGAAGGAGAGAAAATATAAATATTCTATATTAGTAATGGATGCAATAGAAAGCCTAACTGATAGAATTTAAGAAAAGCTGGGGGTTGATTTAATGAGTAGGTATCAATCAAATAGCAGATTAAAAATTAAAAGAAAGCCAAAAAAGCTAAATTGAAAACAATGAATACTGTTTCCTAAATTACCTATTTAAAAGGAAACTAACAATAAGCTAACTAAGCTGATTCCAAATCTTGGGTCTTTAATCCTTACATTTAAATTAGTTTAGCCTGAAGGAATCAAAGGTTTCGATCAATTAAAACTTAGGAGAATGGACAGTGTACCAAAAAAATGAAAAGAAAATTTTCGTTTAAATTTTTGAATTAGGAACAGGAGTAACGTCCACGTTCTTAAACTAATGTACAAAATCTACACCCAAAACTAAAAAATAACTTAATAAGTTTAATTTTTATCAACAAGCCTCAATAACAACATAACATTTTCAGAAAAATAAATCCACCTTCCATTTAGTATTCGCCACGGGCCAATTGTCGTCGCTGTTTTTTCTTAGACTCCTTCTTCACCTTAACAATTGCTCCAGCAGGTTTAGAAACGATTTCCTTCTTCTCAGTTAAAATCACTTCAATATGGCAAGGCTAAATATTTTTAAGTTAAAATTTTTCCAGATATTAAGAAATTATAGTTGAATCCTTTCGGGCCTGATGGTAGTAGTTAGGTGGATTAAATCTCTAAACCGGAGATTAGAAATGATTTAACAAAACCAGAAATTCGGCTTAAAAAGGATACCCCCCCCCAACACCACTAGTCTATCAAACAATGAATCCAATTTAAAATTTTTTCTTAAAAAATACCGAGCTCATATAAGGGTTTATACGTCCATGAGCCCTATATGTGCGCCTTCGCATTTTGGCCGCAGCCTGCACCACAATATGGTCAATCACAAGATGGTCAACATCGAGTCCTTTAACCTCAGCATTGCTTTCAGCATTTCTAAAAATATTGATGTGAGAAATGTGTAAATTGTAAAAAATTAACCGCAAGAGTTGTAAGAGAAATTCCGCAGACTTCTTTGGCCAGCGTCCCTGAGTCGTACCTGTAATAAGGATTAAATTGAGTAATTCCCTGTTTAGTCCCCCACACCAACATTTTTATACGGACATACCCTTATTGTTAGTGTTAGAATAATCAAGATACTTATATTCCTTCAAGACAATCCCTCGAATAAATAAAAAATACCCCAAGCCTTAGCCTGCGCCTTTCGTCCAACACCACCATTGAAGTGACGAAAAGGAACAATCTCCTTCTTTTCCTTAACATTCTCCAAAAAGCGAATGGCTCTTTTCAATGGCATCCCTTTGACCGCTCTAGCTGTTTCATGCGTGTTTTTGAAGTGAACACGCAAGTCAGAACCACGCGCCTTGCACGATTTTGTATTGTTGTCTGGACGTTTGCAATAATGAACTTTAGTCATGCTTAAGATCTATAAACTAAAAGAAATCTTTAAAGGTGGATAATAGAAAAATAATAGCTTGGATAGGAACAAATGGAGAATATAAATAAAAAGTAAAACGAGTTTATTAAAAAATATAAATAGTAAAAACTTTCAAAATATCAAGTTTTTTTAAAGCCATATTTTTTCCGTTCATAGAACAAATCCGTCTTGGCACTCCCTAAATTGACAATTTTTGGACATCCATCTCTATCCTTTTCCATAATCGTGCATTCCTTGCAATAATAAGCATCACTGGTTCCAGGACCACCACAAATAACACAACGTCCCTAAAAGACGTAGTTAGATTGTAAATCAAATTTCAATGTAAATAAACCTGATAACTTCCATAATTGCATTCATCACAAATTCGAACAAGCGTGGCTGGTCTGACATAAGAATCACAAATTACACAGCGACCATCACACTTATCACATAATCTACCAATTGCAACACCTGGCTGTTTACCTAAAATGATAAAGAATCTAATTTAAATTATGTATTTGAAACTTACGACAAAAGATTAAATCTGGATGGTGTTTGGCCATTAACAATAAATAAAATTTATTAATACTAAAAAGACAAATAACAATTAAGTACCTTGGTAGAAATAAAACTTCTAGAAAAGTGAAAAGTGGTCTAACATTAAATCTCAGATAAAATCAATAAATACACCTTGCCAAATTATTGTAAAAGACGTTTCAGTATCGCCGGTCTTATTTTGAGCCAAAACTTTTTTATTCCTAACCAATTTAGACAATTATTGAAAGCTCTGCAGCTCTTTGATCTTTAATGATACGCGTTTACTCGGATCGGACGCAAATAAAGTTATGGCGCAAATATTGCCTCGAGATTGAGTCGGCGACACTGAATCGTCCTTTATCGAAAGAAAATGATTGAGAAATATTGTAGTTAGAGAAGAAAAATAAAACTGGAGAGAAAATGAAAAATGACGGCTCCGGTACAAAATATGGAATCGTTAAAATATGGAATGGTTAAAATCGCGAATAGGCTAAAAAGGGGTTAAAATACCGAATCGTTAAAATATGGAAACGTTAAAATATCGAATCGGGTAAAAAAGGGTTAAAATATGGAATCGTTAAAATATGGAATGGTAAAAATGTCGACACGGCCAAAATCGGTCAAAATGTCGAATTCTTTTAAAAAAGGGTCAGATGAGTGCCATACGTTGATTGTAGATGATTATATCAACTTATCAACTTATTGATGATAAGTTGATTGATAAGTCTCTTATGTCGTAGTCCGGCGCAATCTTTTCTGCCAGAGTTTATTGTATTTTACCGAGTAAAACCGGACCGGATAAATCAAGCATAATCGACCGGATCCGGTCCGGCATGATCGTACGGATCCGGAAAACATAACGCGATCCTGATATGGAAAAATTAGAGTGGTGTACATTAGTTTTTAGTTAAGACCTAAAGTTTGATCTTACCGTATACGGCACGAAATACCGAAAAATACCGATCAGCTTTTAAATTTTATCGGTCGGATACCGTACCGTACAATCGACACGGAATATCGAAAAATACCGTCGGTATTACGGTAACGCCCGGATTCTAGTTTTGGCGCCATTTTTAAAAAATTCGACATTTTGATCGTTTTTTGCCGTGTCGACATTTTATCAATTCGATATTTTGACGATTCCATATTTTAACCTTTTTTTAGCCTATTCGATATTTTAACCATTCCATATTTTAACGATTCCACATTTTAACCCCTTTTTAGCCTATTCGCGATTTTAACCCCTTTTTACCCGATTCGAGATTTTAACCCTTTTTTAGCCTATTCCATATTTTAACGATTCGATATTTTGTCCGGACACGAAAATGACAGTTTGTCCGCGAGTTAAAGAAATTATAAAAAATAGCATGGTCAGAGATAAAGAGGAATATATCCGGATAAGGTCAGTTGAGAGCGGAGTTCAAAAATTTTTTAAAAATCTTTATGTACTTACTCGTAAAATCGACACTAATTGATTAAAAACATAAAAAATCGAACAACCGATTTCAATTGATAATTAATTTTACAAATTTTAATTCTTAAAAAATCGATACTAATCTATATCAATCGATCAATTCAATAAATTTATTTTCTAAAAATAATGTATTTATAATTATTAATTTACTAAATAAAATACAAAAAATAAACAAAGATCTAGGCCTAATTTATAAATGATAAAATCCTTACCAGGAATATGTATTGAATTAGACCCAGACCTATTTGTAATGTAAACATAAAAAATATCTAGTAAGATGCAGATTATATTTGATATTTTAAACTATTTTAATTTTACTGTAAAAATTCTATCCTAAAAAATTTAAAATTCTGCATCAAAACATGTAGTACATATAAAAAATACTGATAATAATAGTTAGATTCCGTATCGTGATAGTATTAAATCCTAATTATTATTAGAAATTCTATTTTCAATCCTTATCTTTTGCCTGTTTATTGCTAGTGTTAATTCGGCCATAGAATCCATTTGTAGGGTTGGTTTTATTGGTGTAGTTCTTTTTGGAGGTGGTGGTGGGGGAAGTTGTTTTAGGATCTTATAAAAAAGAAAATAAATTAACAATAAGAAGGAAATTCGGGCCCCAAAACAGAAATCAAAAACCGGAATTTAAAAACCACTGATTTGTTTAAAATCGTTATTGGCAGCCCCAGAAATAAAACAAATAACGATAAAAAATTTTTTTACTCGAATAGGAGACGTTGGAAGTGAAGAAGGTAGTGGCGGGAGGGGAAAAAATTCTTCATCTGCCTCATCCGAATCGTTTTCTTCTAATCTATTCGAAAATATTTTTGTTGATTCAAAAGAATTTTCAGCGAAGGGAGAAAGAGCAAAATTACTATTTTGTTGTTGATGTTGTTGAGATATTCCAGAATTTGATGGATTTGGTTGGCGTTTAATTGTATTGCAAAAATCCTAGAATTATAAAATATTTTCTAAAAATCAAAATTTATTATTAAACCTGTTCAAAAGCAAGTCTGCCACATTGAATTGTTGGCGAACCAAAACGAGTATCACAACTCGTCCGCGAAGAATGAGACGTACCAAGAGCAGCAACAACAAAGCCTGGTGTTGAACAAGGAGAAGCAGAAATGTTTGGAGTCCTTCTATAAGGCGAATGAATTCCAACAGGTGACCCAAATAAATGTTTTGATGGAACTTTAGGAATTTCAACATGAACAGAGCAAGAGTCAATAGGCTCGCAAGAAGCATGGGCAGTGCAAAATGCTTTATATAGAGTAGAAAAGCCGTTCTATAAAAGGAAAATTTAGAATACATCGGACCTCCTGATGAAAATATTAATCGCTTAGGCAACCCCCTACTCCCGTGACAAACTACTTTATAAAAGTTTGACATACCAAAAGAAAAGGGATGATAAAAAAATATCTTTAAAACCTTGATAATACGAAGAGCATTAACCCACTGATTAAAAGTATGTTGATCTTCAGCACAAATATATTTAACAAATTTACTGGTTTTTAATTGAACACGCGGATGTTTTATTGCAAATCCCCACTCGGTTGGTGCCTTGTATTTCTTACGCCAATCAGTACAAATATATACCTTAAAAATACATTTAATTTTTGTTAAAAAATTAAATTATACTTGATTATTAAAAACACTCATAAGACATTGTAGATCGCGCGTTGGACCACGTGTCTTTCCAGGCTTTGAGACATAATATAGACCTTAAAAATATAATTATTTTATAATGAACTAGAATTTGGGGGAAACCAACTAGAGTTCGAGGAACTGCCTAAGTAAGTTTGGGTGGGTGAGACACCTTATAGGGTGTACAATGGAATAAAAATTAACAGAAATACAGACCAGAAGCTCTAAGAACAAAAAAATGTCTTCTCCACGACTTTTTTCCATCCATTTTAAGTAAAAGCCATCCCTCCAATTCTGGAACTCTGCCACCAGAACCACCATTCTCATCTCCCATATAACTTTCCAACAAACGTTGCTTCTGTAATGAATCCCAATTAGCAACACTATTGGCACAAGGAAAATCGTTGCGATTTCGATCAGTCAAAAGAAATTGTTGAGGAGAATGAAAAATTGACCATTTATAAGGTAAACGAATAAAATGAAGTTCATTAGGTGAATTCTCACCCCACTCTTCCAAATTTTCCACAGTGAATTCATTATCCTCATAAATACGTTCTGAAAAAGAAAAAATTAAAGTTTATTTTATTAGACATCCTATGTATTTCCCAAAATTAGTTAAATAAGTCCTTGTCAGTTCCTCTTGACACAAACCCAATATTTTTTAACCTACTAGTACTATATTTTCATATAGGAAATTCAATCCTTATTCTAATGTAAAATTAATCCAGTACACCCTTTTACATTTCTTGACCATCTGCTTATATGTATTTAGTTTGTACACAATCCTTAAAAGGGTCTAAGGATAGAACAAACAAATAGTAGATAAGAGAACAGAGTATATAAAAATAAAAAAAACCAACTAATTAATAATTTTGGATATTCTTCAACAATTGCGTGTTCAGGAGTTAACACACAATTAATTTTAATAGCCAATTGTTTCATTGTTTCAGCAACAGTCCAACGTTCATCAATTAAAATTCCTCGTTGAGTTCCATCTTCTAAGAATATTTTAACAAAAATCTAAAAAATAAATAGTACTTATCATTTTATTTTTGCTAACCTTTTTCATTTTAGCCTCTTTCATTTTTTCCAATGCTTCACGTATTTTAGCCTTTTTGTTTTCATCTTTCGAGATTGTAATGGCAGAATTGTACGAACCAGCTGAAGATGGCGGCCTTGATCCTCCCAAAAATGACGACGAAGTTGGATAAGATAACAATCGAGCGCCTCCATTTTGTTGATTATTATTCAAAATAACCTAAAATTTAAATTTTAACAAAATCTAAAATTGAAAAAAATAAAATTAAAGAAAAATCGTCCGCCCTTCGTTTGACCTTTTATCCAAGTAATAAAAAAATCTTTTTTACATGGCCTTTAGAGCTACCCGATTAAAATGTATTCTCGAGGTAAATGTCAAAGCATATGTTCTTATTACAAATAAAAGGTTATAGGACGAATACAAACACAAAATTACCAAAGCCAAAGGATATGCGATACTATTCTCTTTCTGACCTAAGTATTGGGAAAAATAGCAAGGAAAGAAAACTTGGCATACAAGCTAAAAAGAAAAGGTAAAAATAAAAATAGCACCGTTGAACATATGCCAATATGTAAGAAAACGGACATACTAAAAATAACTAAAAAAAGAACAGATGCGAGTCCTAAATGAAACCAGAAAATTAGGCCAATAAAGCAAGGAATTTCAAATTTTACAAATTAAAAAAGAATTAATTAAAATCTACCTGTCTAGTAGGTGATGGTGTAGAACCAAGAAAACTATCAGCACTAGAAAATTCTGAATTACAATTAGCCACGTTTTTAGGCAATAATAAAGCATTTCCACCAGCAGGCATGTGCGATGTGGATTCTGTTGAAGAAGAATCTCCAAATGCTGAATCAGTATCAGCCGGATTGAAACAATCACTAAAATCTAATCCATTTGTTTTAGTATGATGGAAGTGAGAATTATTCAAAGAAATAAATCTGTTGTCGTTAGAAGAGGATTTTCCGTTTA